ACAGCTCATTGATTCCACCTGCTGGAATATAGTATTTTGCCTCCTTTTAACAGCAAACTCCTGAAAAAAGTAGTTGGGGTGTTCTACTTCCACTTATTCCCTTATTAATTCCTCTAAGCTGCTTGCTACTCCCACCACTTTACTAAAAATGCTCTCTAGTCAGGATCCAGATGGGTGGGATGGGGGCAGGGTAGAAGGGAGGTCCATGAGGGAGGGATGTGTCTGTATGGTGTAGGCTGAGTCACTAAGTTATGTCTGACTCTTGCGACCACATGGACTGTAGCCTGCCAGGAGTTCATGAGATTTCCCAGGCAAGGATACTGGAGTAGGTTGCCATTTCCCTCTCCCGGGAATCTCCCCGATTCCCTGGGTTTGAGCCTGGGTCTCCTGCATTGCAGGCAGATTTTTTACTGACTGAGCAACCCAGGAAGCACAGCCAATTGATTTCATTGTACAGCAGAAGCTAACACAACATTGTAAAGCAATTATACATCGATAAAAAAATAAAAATGCTCTTCAAGTGGTCATAAAATGACAGGTTTTTGTTAAATATAAGGGCTTTTCTCAGTTATCATGCCCCTTGACTTTCCTGTGACATTAAGACTATTGATTTTTCTATTGATGCTTTTTCTTGAAAGTGTCTTGCCTTTAGGATGCTGATACACTGTGTCCCTATCTTCCAGGTAACACACTCTCTTTTTTGATCTGTTCTTTTTCTTTTCCAAGAAGCTGCCCTTCATTCTCTTCTCTTTTCTCTCCAAGTTCCGGTTCCTTATCAGCTTTGGCTTCTAACTCCAAACGTCTAAACTTATGGATACATAGTGTGAGGAATCAAAGTGAAAGTTCCCTATTGCCCAGTGTTAGCACATCTTTCTCCTCCCAACCTGATTTCCTCTGCGACTTCTACCTTTGATCATCTTCCCCCTCCTTTCAAGGTTGAGGCCTTGGAGATATCTATCTATCTATCTATCTATCTATACCTAATGTATATTTATATACCTAATGTATATATATAATCTATATATAGATATATATACCTAATGTCATCAATTTCTAGCCTTTTCCTGTGAAATAGGTTGACACTTAAAAAGTAGTGATATTAATTACACTATAGAGTGTGGTTGTGATTGTATATATTCAAATAATTGAAAGGGTGTATAACAAGATGTTATTAGTATTTTTCAATGAGTTGCTAGGTCCTATGATTTTAAAAAAGTTTAATTCCTAATAACTCCACACAGAATATTAGTCATGGCCATAAAAAAAATATTTAAAGTAAACAATTCACCTCCTTATTGCTGCCTCTCTCTCCCTATCAATTTCACTTGCCTTTACAATACTAGATTACTATCAAAGCTCTTGAGTTGAATTTATGATTCAAAATTCTTCATGTAGAATTTCACCCTGCATGGCATTATGAGACTTAGGATGTGACTCTCTTCTCATTCACCTTCTAATCATCCAGACTTTTCACCCAGTTTCCTAAGTCCAGTTTTCTAGATTTCCAGAACCATGCTCACATGTCTACACGTCACTGCTGCAGTCCTGGCATCCTCTCTTCCTCTGTGGCCCCTGGGATCTCCTTCGGTTCTTGGTCTTCTCCTCACTGTCTCTTCTCAAGTCATGCTCATCCCTGCCTCTGACTAACTCCTGAATATAACTCCCACTTATTGAATCTGAACCAAATGGAAAACATCAACTCAATTTCTTATAACAACTCTACCAGGTGAGTGGAATGACCTTTACTCAATAGATAAAATATTGAAACTCAGAAACATAATTTAAGTCACATCCCTAGCAAATGGCAAGAAAGTAAAATTCATGTTTTTCTGCTATAAAGTTGGCTTCCAGCATGCTTTATGGTCACCTTCCTGCCTCAGATGCTCTTGCGTACTCCTAAAATCCCAGCTTAATCCATCATTTCCCTGAAGTTTCAATGATTAGCACAGACTGTAGGAATGCCCCCTCTCTCTAAACTCCTAGAGACTCTTCACTAATGTAACTAATTATCTGAGAGCCATCTTTCAATAGTTCATGTCTATGTCCTTGGTCAGACTCTCTTGGCATGGAAAACATCACTTGTTTCTAAACTTTGTTTCACCAAGCACAGTTCTTAATATATGGCAGTGATATCAGCATAATATATGTTGTTAATAAATTGTTTATTGGTCATGTTTTATAATAAAATGTGTCATTAGTTCTGATTTCTCTTTTGTCTTAGGAAGATGAAAATAAATGTAACATAAAGAAAGACAAAAACATTTAATCTAAAGTACCTGATGCAAAGAACTGACTTCTTGGAAAAGACCCTGATGCCGGGAAAGATTGAAGGCAGGAGGAGAAGGGGATGACAGAGGATGAGATGGTTGGTTGGCATCACCAACTCGATGGATATGAGTTTGAGCAAGACCAGGAGTTGGTGATGGACAGGGAAGCCTGGCGTGCTGTAGTCCATGGGGTTGTAAAGAGTCGGACACGAATGACTGACTGACTGACTGACTGACTGACTGACTGACTGACTGAATAATAGGGCATTTATAGTGCATATGTTACTTTTCCCATTATATATCAAAAGTAAAATAAGTCATAAAATACAGTGTTCTTTATAGGAATGAGTGATATGATGCAACTTTTAACTGACTAGCAATTTTTCTCTGACACCAGTAAGTGTGCTAACAACAGAAGAGCAACTTTTATACATAGCTTTTCCTTTTTTGTAGATATATCTAAAGCTCAATTATAACTTTTGATGTTAAGATTCAATGTATCATTTTGTCCCTATCATGCACTTTTTTTCACTGTTTAAAATTGCTCATTTTTCATTTATCATCCAGAGAACACATACTTTCAGATCTTATGCTGCAGCTTTGTCACTCAGAGTCAGTGACCCCATGGACTGTGGCCCACCAGACTTCTCTGTCCATGGAATTCTTCAGGCAAGAATACTGGAGTGGGTTGCCATTTCCCTCTCCGGGGGATCTTCCTGATGCAAGGATCAAACCGTGTCTCTTGTGTCTTTTGGCAGGTGGATTCTTTACCACTTGTGCCACCTGAGAAGCCCTTCAGATTTTATAAAGTCACTCAAATGATTATGTTCATTCATTAAAAATACAAAAACACTTAAACAATTCCTTTTGATATGTTGGCAGCACTTTTCATACAAACGAAAATAATTCAGTTAACATTGACCCTATACACGGAATGGTGAAACAAGAATTACTTAAATGTATGTTAAAATGTGTAAAAATGTGCTTGAGTATATGCAAATATTTTAAAACCAATTATACGGATTTCTGGACTGGATGAAGCACAAGTTGGAATCAAGACTGCAGGAAGAAATGTCAATATCCTGAGATATGCAGATGACTACCACCCTTTGGCAGAAAGCGAACAGCCTCTTGATGAAAGTGAAAAAGGAGAGTGAAAAAGCTGGCTTAAAACTCAACATTCAAGAAACTAAGATCATGGTCTGGACCCATCACTTCATGGCAAATAGATGGGGAAACAATGGAAACAGTGACAGAGTTTATTTTCCTGGGCTCCAAAATCACTGCAGATGGTGACTGCAGCCGTGAAGTTAAAAGATGCGTGCTCCTTGGAAGAAAAGCTATGACCAACCTAGACAGCATATTAAAAAGCAGAGAAATTACTTTGCCAACAAAGGTCCATCTAGTCAAGGCTATGGTTTTTCCAGTAGTGATGTACAGATGTGAGAGTTGGACCATAAAGAAAGCTGAGTGCCATGGAACTGATGCTTTTTAACTGTGGTGTTGGAGGAGACTCTTGAGAGTCCCTTGGACTGAAAGATCAAACCAGTCAATCCTAAAGGAAATCACTCCTGAATATTCATTGGAAGGACTGATACTGAAGCTGAAGTTCCAATACTTTGGTCACCTGATGTGAAGAACTGACTCATTGGAAAAGACCCTAATGTTGGGGAAGAGTGACTGTAGGAGGAGAAGGGGACAACAGAGGATGAGATGGTTTGATGGCATCAGCAACTTGATGGACATGAGTTTAAGCAAGCTCTGGGAGTTGGTGATGGGCAGGGAAGCCTGGCGTGCTGCAATTCATGGGGTCACAAAGAGTTGGACACAACTGAGCGACTGAACTGAACTGAACTGAACTGATATGAATGTCTGCATGTACACTGTATCACTTTCACTGTAAGGAGAGAGATAGATACAACTTTCTTTTGCATATGTAGATACAGGTGTGTAAATGTCTTCATAAGCATCTTCATATAGATATTTTATATCTTTATCTTCATGTAGTATGTAAAATATTTAGAATGGAGTTAGCCCTAGAAAGATTACAATCTTTCTTACAATTGAAAGAAGTTTTCATCAGGAATTTTAGTGTTTTCTTCCTTTCCTTTATTATATAATGTTCCTTCTTCTAACTTTTAACACCAAACTTAAAAATGACCAGTTAATCTCTTGTCTTCTTTTCTCACAAAAATTTTCAGGAAGTCTCTTTTAAAAGTATTCCTATTTTCAAATTAAAGGTCAGTAATGCAATGGATTACCTCTCCTAAAATATGTGGATATTCGAATAGTAAGCGAGAAAATGATTGAACTTTCATGTTAAACCATATGAAACTACTGTTTTTTAGGTAAAATATGTTCAAGTGTAGGCGATTCCATAAGGTTCAACCAATTGCAAGATTTAGGCATTTGTCACAATCTGGCTGCATCCTCTGAAATTCAGATTGTCCCCTTAGCACTTTGAAAACAGTATTCAGTTGCCCACTGGATAAATAAGGAACAGCATATGTTAACAGGTCCAATACTTTGACAAACAACTAAAATCTGCTACCAGAAAACAGAACCCATATTAATTTTAGCATACATCTGTTTATTACTTATGACAATGAAAATATATGAAATATACAAGTATTTTTCAATGTTTTTAGCCTTGGACAGCCTGATCATAACATCAGCCTTGTTCATGATAAATAGAATATACATTAAAAGGTAAATCTTACAAGGTTTCCTTACCTGTTTTGGACATCTTTTCATCTTTTTTAATTTCAGGTTCTGGGATAAAACAAACAAATTAGGAAAAAAAATAGGCATTTAAAAAAACATCAGTACTAAATGGAATAATAGGCAGGCTTTAATCAATTTTTCTCATTTGTTCTCAGTTTCAATTATAGTTTCATACTTTAAACAATATACAATGGACTATGTATTTGAAATAAAGTAACATAAGCAAAAGTACTTTGATTTAAATTTCTATTAAAACTGAAAAGTTTTAGTATACTAATCAAGAAATTTGGCATTCTGTCTTCAATAATTCAATAAGAACCATCTATTATGATTCATAAATTCTCAAAGCATTGCAGATAAGGAAATTAGCCAAAACTGTTCAGGAAAAAAATATTTTGCAATTTTTCCTAATTTGACCAATTTAAGCAATTTTCTATTTTTGAAAATATACATTGAATTCATGGAGCTCCACCTGGTGGTTAATTTAATCATTTCAAACTGGTATAATTATTAGTTTTACTAGTATTTGTTATTAATTTTATAAAATAAAAAATGGGCTTAACTTTGGCATAACAATATAAACACATTAAAATAAAGTATTGCCCTTTCTTACTTCCTAGGACAATGGCATTTGTGTAGAAACTCTGCATTCTAACTTAATATAAGTATAGGATAAATACATAGTGTTTTGAGCTATCTTCATGACACTATCCCAACCACTGTAATAACTGTGTATTTTCATATTCCCCAGTCCTTTCCCTTATTTAAACAATTTTGCCTCAGTCTCAGAGTTCTCCTTTGTTGGCATAAATTCTTGTTTTGATTAAGGGAAGGGTTCTGGTACATTACAACTTTTCCTCCTTTCAAACAGCAGAAAAACTGAGCTCGTGGTTGGGCTATAACTGTGTATAAATTTTGTGTCAGGCATAGTGCTAACTGGCTTTATTTAGGGCTTAGCCTAATAGGGTCTATTTTCTAAAGTTACAATTTTTTTTTTAAAAGCTCATTTGCTTTGTCTATAATAGAGAATTATTACATAGCCATTGACACCCTACATCCTGTAACACTTGAATGCACATCCTGTGAAAAGTGATTATCGGTACTGTTATTGCACGTCCACACTCCCTGGCATGTATTTCTCTTTTTTAGTTAATACGTTCATTAGCTGGGGAAGAAGTGGAGTTGCTCAGTTGTGTACGACTCTGCAATTCCATGGACTGTAGCTTACCAGGCCCCACTGTCCATGGAATTTTCCAGGCAAGAATACTGGAGTGGGTTGCCATTCCCTTCTCCAGCGGATCTTCCCGACCCATGGATTGAACCTGGGTCTCCCACACTGCAGGCAGACGCTTTACCCTATAAGCCACCAGGAAATCCCATACACTATTTTAATGTTTCCTATCTTCCTTAATGTTATATAAAGTTTTGTTATACATTTTTTAAAATTTAATTTTTGTTTATCGTCTGTATACTGTCGTTAGATTTTAAGTTTCATAAGGGCAAGAGCTGTGTCTTGTTTATTACTCAAATATCAGCATTTGGTCAAATATCTAACAGGTGGTGTTATGATCAATAAATATTGTTGAATGAATGACTGAACAAAACAAATACAGGCAAAGAAATATAGAGCAAAAAAATATGTAAAAAGATGAAATGCTCCCTCCTGTGTATCTGCAGTCATAGAAGAAATTGATTAATCTCATGGTTCTAGAGTTAAAGAAAAATTCAGTGTCCTAGGGTAAGGTCCATAGGCATTTTGTGCATCATGTAGAACTGTCTGTTTGAAAGTTTTTCTTCTCACTGTACACCTGTTTTTCTCCCCTGTCAATCACATTGCCACTATAATCTTGAAATGGAATCATTTTAGCCTTGATGCTTGTCAAAAGACCTTCTATAAAAAATAAAACTTGTGGGGAATATTTTTATCAGCTATGTGCACAGTACAGTCAGAACCAACTTCTACCTTATTCATGAAATTTTATAATTTTATAATTATATAAATGTCTTATCATCATTCAACAAGTGCGAGGCTATGGACCCTCTCATGATGCTGGAACTTCTGACTTTTGGTGTTATGTAAACACTAATAAGATAAACATACAACTTAGGAATTCTTGGCAAGTGTGGGAAGAAGGCTCTTGAATGTATAATCTAGCTTTAATAGCAAGCTCATTTACTTAGTTTTGTTACCTTGGGCATAACTTAAAACCTTGTCTCAATTTTGTCATTGCTGAAATGGAGAAAATAATGTGAAACTGATCAGAGAATTAAGAGTAACATACAGAAAACGCTTACTTATTTTAAAATTATGCTCATGAACTTAAATGGCAGCACCTCCCAAGGTAATTTTCTTTTGTTCTTACACAACTGAGATTTTACCCTTTAATATGCAAAGCAGGAATTGATAGGTGAGTATTTCTAATGTGAACATCTCTTTTATTTGGCTACTTGGTCACCATGAACTCAGTGTCTTTGTTTTGTAGATGGCATTTTTACTGAAGCTTGTCTTTGAGTCATATATAGATGCCTGTTCTCAGTCATATCACAGTGATAACTAGATATATATGGTGTATATACATAGACATATTTTATTTTATGTATATATGTTATTGTTGTTGTTCAGTCACTAAGTCGTGTCCAACTCTGCAAACCCATGGACTGCAGCACACCAGGCTTCCCTGTCCCTCACTGTCTCCTAGAGTTTACTTAAACTCATATCCGTAAAGTCAGTGGTTATCTAACCGTTTCACCCTCTGCTGCCCTCTTTTCCATCTGTCTTCAATCTTGCCCAGCATCAGGGTCTTTTCCAGTGAGTCGGCTCTATGTACACACTGTTCAGTCACTGAGTTGTGTCCAACTGTTTGCGACCACATGGACCGCCAGGCTTCCCTGTCCTTTACCAATTCCCGGAGCTTGCTCAAACTTGTGTCCATTGAGTCGGTGATGCCATCCAACCAATTCATCCTCTGTCATGCCCTTCTCCTCCTGCCTTCAATATTTTTCAGCATCAGGGTCTTTTCCAATGAGTTGGCTCTTCTCATCATATGGCCAAAGTATTGGATCTTCAGCTTCAGCATCAGTCCTTCCAATGAAAATTCAGGGTTGATTTCCTTTAGGATGGACTGGTTTGATAAAAATAATATACATGTCTATAATAATGTGTGCTCAGTCATGTCTGACTCTTTGTGACCCTATGGACTGAGACCACCAGCCTCTGAGGTCAATGGGATTTTCCCAGCAAGAATACTAGAATGGGTTGCCATTTACTCCTGCACGGAATCGTCCCAACACAGGGATCAAACTCACGTCTACCCATGTCTCCTGCATTAATGGCAGATTCTTTACCACTGAGCCATTGGATAAGCCCTATATATGTATATATACATATGTATATATATGTATATACATTTTTTTTTTTAAGTTTAGTCAAAAGGTTTCATTGACGTTTCAGGAAACTAAGGGCAGTGATTGATGCTGAAGATAGCAGTCTGGAAGTTAGAAAAAGAGAACAGGAACTTTTATTTTCACCCCTTCTAGACTGCTAAAACATTTTTACCATTATTATTATATAAGAAAAATATCTGGTTTCCATAAACTTTTTTCACATGAGCACTTCTTTTGGGCTTCACACATAAGCACTGCAGAAACATGGAATCAAACAATCCCCAAGCTGAATGGTCAAAGCAGATAGCCTGCCAATTCGTATGTAGCACTGAGTTTTCCAGGCTGCTGATTTCATTTATGAAATGTAAATGCTGGTGGGCCGGGGGAGGGGAGCTTCATTAATGATTTTTCAATGTCATCAACACTACATTCTCAAGTGAGGCAGGCCAACCAAATTAAACATGCATATGCTTGAGTTTAAAAAAGGGTAGCATAAATAATAAATATATAATTATGACAAACAATAATAAATTTTCAAATTTTGTGCATAACTTTCTATTTTGCAGGTGAAAATAAAAACTTCTTTTAAAAACAAAGTAAAAAAAAAGGGTAGCAGTGGAAAACAACTTTGTTTAGGAGTCTCTGCTTTGTCTTCACAAATCAAAAACAAAGTATAAATCCCAAGAATGTGCATTGTTTTTCAAATGTCTCCATTTAAAATACTTTGCAAGTCAGAAGCTGAATGCCACTACTCTTTCTTTTCCCAATCTTTTTTTATCATTATCACAATAAAACAATTTATCATTATCACACAATTATTTGCTTCTTCAGCACATAGGAGCTTTATAGGTGCAATAAACTATAATAATAATAATTCCTGTTTTTGCAACCAATGATGTTTCACATATTCTACATGGCACTCAGTAAGTGTATTATATGCATTATCTAAAATTTATTTAAATAATGTTAAATAGTCATGAAAATATTCATAAATATTCATTAGCTCTCTAACCACAATAGAATACAAACTTCCTGAGTCCTGGGGTGATGTTTCATTTTATCTGCTATATAATAGTGCCTAGGTCACTGCTTTGCACAGACTAGGGATTGATATATATTTTCTGCATGAATGAACAATTATCTTATATAAACCTAATATTACACTCGCTTTACAGATAATAATATTGAGGCTTACAGATAATAACATTGAGGCTTAATACTTGTCTATGTATGTACTCCCTAGTAAGTGGAAAAACTAGTCTCTGAATACTGATTTTTCCAACTCCAAAATGTGAAACATTTGTTAAGAACACTGCTATGAGTTCCCCTGGTGGCTCAGATGGTAAAGAATCTGCCTGCAATGAAGGAGAACTGGGTTCAATCCCTGGGTCAGGAAGATCCCCTGAAGAAGGGAATGGCTTCCAGTATCTTTGTCTGGAGAAAACCACGGGCAGAATAGCCTGGTGGGCTACAGTCTATGGGGTCACAAAGATTTGGACACAACTGAGGGACTAACAAATACAAGCACATTTCTATAACTACCATTGATACAGATAGAATGAATGTTTTTAACTATTTTACAAAAAAAAAAAAACTACATGGAAAGCCACATACTACATCTTGTAGGTACACATTACTAACAGAGTCATTAAGATTGTAATTGG